AGATTTTACTTCTAATTTTTTTAGATTGAAACTCACCCTCCAGCTACCCTGCTAAGGAGAAATAAGGGCACTGGAATGATACTTCCCATAACTCACCAGAAAGACACCCCATTCTTACTCTCTCGCCTTTAATGTACAAACATGTACATGCAATGTAATGTGTATTGCGTCTTGATACATAATACAAAATAATAGCAATGTTTGTGCATACATTAATGTACATGCATAATATGTATGTACATGTATGTTACAATTGATTACATGAGTTTGAGCAGTTCCATCAGTTTTCAGTCATGAGATGGATTACATCACTGAGTTCTGCAAAGCTAAAGCATTAATTTGCTTTCATATTCAATTATTTTTGGATATTGCAATAGAGAATTCCTAAATTATTAACAATGATGATGATGTAATACTGGCTCTCTGTTCCAATAATAATATCAGAAGAACAGTTTATACTAAGATTGATAATGATAAATTTTGTGACAAATAGTGACAATAGTTCCCCTGCATGCAAACACCAGTTAATGTTTAGCAATGAATACACTTATTGCGCTAATGAAGCCATAACTTGAGCAGCAGTAGTTTACATTGACAATGGTACCTATCTTTTGATTGTAAATGCAAAAGCAGCAAGAGAAAGTTTTTGAAAATCCTCATCAACTCTCTACAAACGGATTTTAGAAGGACAAGTTTGGGATCAAATTGACTTTTTATGACCTGGGAGTTAAGTTCTGTCCAACCATCAACAAACCTTTGCATATGATGGACAAAGTCACTGTGGAATGGGCTGAGTTTTGAAGATGGTGATTTGCTATTTCCTAAAAAATAATGTCTAATTCTGCAATTCTACTCTCTTGTTGTGTTTCTCTGTTTAATAGATTAATCATTAAAATTTTAATATTTTTATCAGTATAATGTAAAAATTAGAATTATTTCAATTGTAAAAAAATTCATCATAAAAATACATAAAAATATTGGAGAATTAGTCAACTTCGTTCTCTGAACCAACCTATCAAAGTACAAACATATATATAACATTAAATTCAATAAACAATCTACTTACAGACACACTGAAAAAGGTAGAGTAATGCTTGACATAAAAATGCTCACATGGCAAAACCGAACTTTTGGAATAATGCATAATAACATTCCATAAATAAGAACAAAGTACATAATGCACTCTTTCATACTACAGAATTAGAGATAGAAAAACACAGTGTAGTACATGGTAACATGCAAGTAGAGAAAGAAACAATGAATGCATACATCACAACTAAAACCTTGCAGCAATAAATACCATTTAAAACAAAGATTATAAATATATTAAATACAGTTAAAATTAAAGTATAATACGATTAATAGAAGTTCAAGAATATTAATTTTTCAAAAGTGGCTCTACATTGAAAAAAGCTAATTTTGTCCGAAAAATCAGTTACTGTTTAGTGATGTTTGTTGTATGCAATGCGAATGCAGTTCTAAATATAGTATTGCTGTTACTTTCACTTTGTGAAACAAAAAAATTATTGCTTGTAAAAGTTTGTGTAAGGTGTGTTTTTATAACTCACTCCTCATAATTTATTGGAGCATTTGTAGGTCTCCACAAACAATTCACAGTATTCTTTTTTAAATTAAAAATAGAAATTATCTGTTCATACCTTAGCGCACGTACACTTCCATTTCTCTTTTCCCACTTCTGCTTTTGGCTACAGTTTCAAAAGTGTAATAAGAGCCAAATCACTAGAAGTAATTGCATATACTACTTCATAATTAAAACAATAATAATAATGATAATAATAATAATAATAATTGTTGTTGTTGTTATTGTGCTTATTGTTATTGTTAGTATTATTATTATTATTATTATTATTATTATTATTATTGTTATTATTTTTATTATTATTGTTATTGTTGTTATTATATCCACATAATAATAATAATTATTATTATTATTATTGTTGTTATTATTTCCATTATTACTATTATTAAAAGCAGGACTATTATTATTATCAATATTGGTAGAATGGCAGATGACATTGTATTTAACATAGAGGTATCTATAAATTGAATATAGGCTGATTCTGATCAGAATTAGATTTTTTACGAATTTTTGAAATTGCTCAAAATGCCATATACATGTACAAATGTGTATGTGCTTGTCAGCTCATGAAGAATGTTGTTTAGCCCACTTAGCATGTTGTGTGGGAAACCATGGGTATGCATCATAGGAAGGGTTAGAGAAATAGAGAAAAAGGCTCAATGTTAAAATGTTAATGAGAGATAAATACTGTGGATAATAGACAATAGTAATAGTAATAAGGCATAATAGTAACAGTAATACACAAATGTTACAAGCACTAACAGTGATCCATAATACTAAAGGTTTGTGAAAAATAACATATTGCTTAAAGGTTACACAGTAATAGTAATAGTATCAATAGATTTACTTAACTATGCATATCCATATAATATAATAGTGATGTACGCTGTAATGCATTCCCATGGCTGTCACAACACAAATACAACACATACATCTAGCTATATATTACTTAGCATGCAAGTGCAAATCTTAATAAACGAACTGAAATCTGATGTCTATTAAGATACTACAACAGATACAATTAAGTCCTTGTAATTGTGTGGGTTTAATAGTTGAATCTCTCTCTACACGTAAGAAGGAATTGAATTCTGTTGTCTTATAATTGAAACCACTTATTGTACACATAGCATAATGCATGCACACAATGTGATTGCATATAATTGATTACATAATTCTACTATTATTGATGTCTTTTAGTTTGAATATTGTTTGGTAATGAAGGCCCACAGGAGGAAGTCGGAGAAGTGATACCACATTAGGAAACTCACTGGACGTGTCGATAACGAAAGCTCGACGCATCATCAATTCATCACATGACAATTAGCTATGTGAACCATAAGAATTGAGTTTTACTGTACATTGGTTATTGTAATTCTGCAACAATTAAATTTTTAAATTGAAACAAAGTTTTTATTTATTTATTTATTTGTTCATTAAGTATTAATAAAAACTCTTGTGTGAAATTATTGCCTACAGAATACAATAAGATTGTGAATTAATTTAATAACACTGGTTCGATCCTTACCAGCTGATATATGTTTATCCTTGTATATCTAGCTTGATCACCTTGACCTCATGCAATTCCTCATATAGTTATACATTTTGATCTTGTATCATTTTAACTTAAAATACCGTCATAAACCTGTTCAAAATCATAAGCATAATAGTGAATTGTACTGTCTATGTATAAAGCAATTACATGTATATGTACATGTAGTACTGTACACATGTATATAAGATAATTCACATAGCATTTGCATATATAATGTGATTGCAAAAAAATGTCATTATGAAACATAATAATAAATTTCTATGTATCAATCAGTCCAGTATGTTTTCAAACATATGTAAAATAAAAATATATGTAATTCATTTGTGAAATTGCAACATACATATAACATAATAATTAATGTATATGTAAGAAACAAGTCACAATGTATGCAAACATATATTTAAGACAAATATATGTGACGTAGCAGGCGAAAATGGTCCAGTTGGCGGCATTGGTTACCATTTGATATGCGACCAAAAACATGTCAAAATTTACTGTTATCAGAGTTTCATTGTTCTGATAGTAACATTATACCTTGATGTTATCATGTAATGTAAAAGTTTTGATACAAAGCCACAGTTGCATGTTTATGATGTCCTTTGCTAATAGCAACCAATGCCGCCAACTGGACCATTTTTGCCTGCTAGGTCACATATATGTAACTTATATGTCACATATAAGCCACATACATTCTGCATATATATTATGTACGCAACATATAATTTTGTAGTACCTGGATAACCTAATGGAGCCATTAGTGAGTGCAACTCACTAATTAATTTGGAAAATTTTTCATACTTTTTCTTCTTTCAACTTCTTCTATCGTCAGGATAATCTTTTATACAAGAGAACCGCTCGAGTTGGCTTTTACATCATTCCTTTGTGCTTGGGTCCAGGACCACAAAGGTAGTTTCAAAAAGAAGCAAGAACAGATAACAAAATGGAAGACAAAATCCAGCTGCAGACACCGCGTGGGTTTGTGGTTTGACGCCATTTTAATTTATGCGCACGTGATCAGCATGAATATAATTAACCTAACCACACAATCATAACAGAATGCAATTTATTACATTAAGAAAAAAGAATGGAAACAAGTAAATAGAAAACATTAAAAATGGAAAAGTAGTAGGATTGAAGTGGAAAAAAGTAAGGAAACAAGAAGGTACTTGCAAACTGGTGTGGTAAAAATATCCTACACCACTGCATGAAGAATATAATCCAAAGCATCAGGTTTGCACAGAGTGGGGTGAATCCTACTTAGTAACGCTACCGCGTTACTAATAGCCTTGGGTATTTTTCAGATCTTTTAAGTTTTCTTAAGATGGTCGTAACTTGAAAAATTGAAGTCAGAATTAGCTCAAATTTTCTACACAGCATAAGGACATCAATATGTATCAAAAATGTAATAAAAATTTGGGGTCATTTTTTAGCCATTTTTGGAAAAACGCATGGGCTATATAGCCTTGGGTATTTTTCAGATTTTTGATGTTTTCTTAAAATGTGACCATAATTGACAAAAGGGCCCTTACGGCGGATTTTAAAATTGATCATTATAATGGAAAATATCAACCTGTGAGTGCTTTGTTAGACAATCATTGTTTCTAAAAGTTTCATGGTAACTTTTTGCATCCTGTGGAGTAATTTTATGATAAATGGGGCTCAGGAAGTTGGATTTCTTAGGCTAGAAAGACAAATTTCACTACCCGCCATAAGGTACCTTTTGTCAATTATGGTCACAAATGGTTGTAACTTGAAAAATTGAAGTCGGAATTAGCTCAAACTTTCAACATAGCATTAGGACATCAATATGTATCAAAATGTAACAAAAATTTATGGTCATTGGTAATGTCAAAACTTGACGTTGCCTCTTTCTCCTTCTGCTCCTAACGATTTCAATTTCTTTCCTTTTTTATCCAGTATTGTTACACAGTGACCATCACGCTCAGTTATTATAACAGGGCCGAATCTTATATACATTATATACAATCTTAAAGACATATGCTTTACATTTACAAATGTACACACACATGTATATGTAAAAATACATGTACATGTAAATTTTACTGTATGAAGTACCTTAAGATGATCAATAAGATGAACTGCTTTCTCCTTAATCAATTTCAATCGATCGACTAAAATTTTTTCTAAAATAAAATCAAAAGTCATAAACAGTCTTTACTGTGCCTTGTACAAGTACCAGTAGTAATATCAATACTATAACACTCATAATTTCATAATTCCATTTCCATACTCTGTACCTTCATGTTTCAATGCTGCAGTGTGCTCTCGTCTCGTGTTCTCCATCTTTTGCTTTATTGCTAGTTGAGCCGGAAAAGGAGGAACATTCACTGGAAAAGAAAAGAAAAAACAAATTAAATGTACAAAATGTAATTAAATGTAAGATCTAAGCAAGATCTTACATTGCATGAATGCATAATATAGTGTTGGGAAGAGTTAATGTTAAAGTTTTTGATTGAAAGTGATTAAAACTTCAGTTTCTTAATAATGCTGCAACTACTGTTAAGGCTATCGTGGGTTGTCAACTACTTCCTGTGACGTCACATGATTTGTAAGATCTTTCACCATTTGTATGACTCAAAATACTGTGATGTGGGATTTCACAGTATCATAAGATCATGGCAGATTTTTTAAGATTGTCAACTTATGAGATTTTGTAAGACCTTTTGAGATTTTAAGCTAACAAGATCATGTTATTACTTACAAAGTTTGATTACCTCAGCGGCTGCTTCTTCAATGAAACGAATCTCCTTAGACAACTAATAACAAGAACAGAAAGAAGAACATATAATTATTAAGTACATTAATATACACACATATAAATGCATAATTAACAAACACAATTGTACTTGTAATTACAAGTACATGTTCATGCATGTAAAAAATGAATAGACTGTAGTTATACTAAAATGTACAGTACATGTATATTTACTCTAAAAATGAAGAGAAATATAGTAGGCAGTATTGGTCATACATGTAAATGTACATTGATAACTCACTAGTTTAGATGCTAGCACTAATGCTGTATTATAACTGTGTACTATCAGTTGTGTGTCCAGTGATAGATCAGATATGTCCTCGGTCCCTGGAGGAGGAGGAGTCGGCTCACACTCAACCTTCTTATGACCTTTCTCTTCAACTAGAGGAGCCTCAGGCACTGTGATTAACTGCCTTATTAATAGGGGGACACTAGGGCAGAGGAGAGAGGGTATTACATGCATACATGTACTTGTACATGTGTACATTTACATGCATATACATAATTAATTTATTAATTAATTATAATAAATGAAGATAAACTAAAAACAATTATTTAAGGCAGAATTGTACATGTAAATTACATCAACTAATATTATACACAATGTACATGCACATGTACCATTTATCTTCTTCAACTGGTTTAGGACTTTCTTTCTTATTTTTATCACCTCCTCCTCCTCCTCCATCAGTGGCATATAAACAAGGAAAATAAAATATATAAAAGACAGTAGATAGTGCAAAGATTAAAAAATGAAAAAGGACAAAGCCTAAAAATTTGCGTAAGCCAAAAAGGAGTTGTATTGATCAACACACAAAAGTACAGTGTACATGTACAATGCACATGTAATAAAATTTCAAATTTTAAATTTAAAATTCTAAGTCATAAAAAATTTCAATATTTTAT